GCATGACCTATGTTGTGATCACCCCTTCTCATTGTTGGCGACTTTACCACACATGTCACTAACGTATCTAGTTCGAAATAAACATTGTGTCAATCCTACCTACTAAACAAACGGCAGTTCATCCTAGTTACGAACAACTTGCGGTACAAATTAATAGTCATAATGGGGGAAAGTTCATCGATCCCCAACTAAGGGGAAGTCTATTCGCGTCTTCTTCCTACTGCCGCTTCTTCCTCTGCTGTTGCTGCTGCTTCCTATGCCACTTCTTCTTCCCCGGATCCTTGTGTTATATCTGTTTGTCCACATTACCTCGGCTCACTCCAACCTTTTCCTATTCCAAGCTTCACTATGAAATGCGTCCATAGCATGGCCATAGGTATCACCATCAACCATCACATCTTCCCCCTCTAGCACAAGCTCATAACAACCCATTGTAGGATCTAGTTGTGAAGGATGCAACATGCAAGAACAATCCTAATTAACCTGAGTCAGTAAATGGTGGATGGCTTCTTAGAAACTTGCCATCAGGGATATGGATTCCATCCTGCCAAACCATGCTATCAACAAGAATGTTAACGTCGTGGGGTGAACTTTAGATCGAAGTTAAGATCAACAAGTACATTCTAACTTGTGTAGTGCTTTGTACCCCTCTATGATGCATCATGTGACCTCGGCACTCTAGAAGTGAGTACCATCCATTTGCGCCTATGCAATCATGTTATGAGATGAATACATCATGTTATTTCTGTATTATAACAATGCAAGCATGCCAGGGCATGAACTACGAGTACCACTCACCTTGAAATACGGATACCATCTTCGTCCCGTGTGAATCTTGCTAGGAGTTTGCCTAGTTGGTGCATTGATCATCTGTCCTTTTAGCTCCCCAATAGCATACAAGAATTGCTTGTAATACCTAGAAATGGTCTCTGTTGATTCCTTAAAATGGTTGTAGTAACCCTTAGCATATGATAGCAACCCTTACGTAAGGAACATGGCAACTTGCTCTTCCACAGAGGTGTGCATGCTATCTTATAGAAGCCCCCCTGTTCCTAAACATCTCGACAAGCTTGGCGAAAGGTGCTCTTTTTCATTAGAAGCATCCACAAAGCCTCTACATCGTTGCATTTGTAGAGGTAGTTCAGATTCGCCATCCTCTCTTTATCTTGGCTTAACATTGGACAATAACTTAGGACAATAATATCACTTTGATGAACCACTCTCTTGTGGACCAACATGACCCAGGCCTGAATCACAAGTATTTGTGTCATTAGCTGAAGAGCCAGCTTCAACCATTTGTCCTTAACCTAAGCGACATCGATGGTGAAGTGGAAATGTCTCAATCGAGCCTATACCGTACCTAACGTCATTATAGGAGACCTAACAAAGGAGGGGGTTGTATGTTATTTACCCCTTTCGAGCCGATGACCCGCCAATGGTGCAGACAAGGAGGATGGGACAGAGTCGGAAACGAAGGGGAGAAGCAGGTCCTACTGCATGAGATTGAAGTCTCCTCCTTCGCTGTCGCCGCTTCCATGGATATGAGTCACCTCCGCAGACAAGGGAAAGAAATGAGGTTGGGTTTGTCCTCGTGCTAGACTGAGCTAGTAAAAGTGGGGCCATGGGAAGATGCTACATTTTGCGCCATCCCGCGCCGACCGATTTCCTTCTCGCGCCATCTCCTTCAAGATTTCCCTTGCACCGTAGCATACACTATGCCCCAATTTTGCACCCGACTCATCCTGGCTCATTGGAAACAGCCGATTCGAGAAGTTTATGACTTTTTCCTATGGAGAAGTCTATGCTGTGTACTTGTGTAGCCCAATCCAATGCCTGGATTTTTCACTATCTTGTAAAGCTATAATGCCTGGAGCAAAATTTGCTCTGTCATGGTTGCATGTGAAGAATGCTAATCATAGTCTCCAGCAAATTTCCCTTTGCTCACACGACATCCCAATTTGCTAGAAGGACTCATTTATGTTGATTGCGAAAATTGGAAGTACTCCCTTTGTCCCACAATGTAAGATATTTTTGCCCATCCATACTTATGGTAGATGTAAATACTACAAATCCTATATACAAACGATATATTGACCGCATTGTATCGTCACATTTCAGCGGAGCATATTATAATTGCACTAACATTTAATTGATAGATCATATCAATCACATTAGGACCACCCTCGCGCAACATGAATATCATCTAGTTCTA